CGCCGGCGGACGGGGAACTTTCAACGCTGTGTCAAAGGACCTGCCGCTGTAGAGGCCTCACACTGTAGAGTCTAGGGCTTTAGGGTTTAGGGTTTAGGCTTTAGGGTTTAGGGGTTTAGGATTCAGGGCTTAGGGTTTGGGGTTTAGAGGTTTAGGGTTCAGGCTCTAGGGCACCACCCGTAACGTAGAACCCCTCCCCGCATCCCTGGCATCAACGCCCATCCTTGCCAGAGCCGACAGCTGCCTCCAAAGCTCGTGCCGGCACTTTGCTCAGCACCTGAGCGACGAAGGGCTTGGGAGAGTAGGACTTACTGCGGGCGTCTAGCATGTGGGATTCAAGAGTTTAGGCCAGTTTAGGCTTTGGGTCTCTTACTTCCCCAATAAGCAAGGAAAGTAGAAGGTGAAATTTTCAGACTGCTACTCAACTCTCAGAGCCCAAAAAGTTTAAAGGTTGGGTATTGGAGAACTAAGGATATAGAACGGTGTAGGAGCCAACTTGTTGTTGGCATATGTTGGTTAGGAATGGTTAGGGTTTCGGGCTCCCAACTATTTTGGGGGGTCCTCTGTGGTTCAGGTGGTGGTCCTCTTTCCAAGCTTGATCTCAAGACTCTACTCGGAGGCCCAGGGGACTGAGTAAGTAGGTTTTATTTTAAGTAGAGTTATAAGTACCCTAACTGGAGTTACCCCAATTATAACCCTACTTATAACCGACTGACTGCGCCCCCTGGGCCTCCAAGTAGGTGGCTTCCTACTCCCCACGCATGTTGTTCCAGTGCTTCGAGTTGTCCTGCGGTCATCCCTAAACCCTAAAACCCTAAACCCTAAACCCTAAACCCTAAACCCCAAACCCCAAACCCTAATTAAACCCTAAACCCCAAACCCCAAACCCTAAACCCTAAACCTAAACCCCAAACCCTAACCCTAAACCCCAACCCCCTCCTAACCCTACACATCCCTTTTGGCCCTGAGCCCTCAAGGCGCACATGGTGCACACGCGATCCCTAAACCCTAAACCCTAAACCCTAAACCCTAGCTGCCGCCCCGCCTCTTTAGTCAAGGAGTGGAGCGATAACGACGATGATGAAGCTGGTACTGATCATGAAGAGTTTAGGGGTTCAGGGGTTTAGGGGTCTTGGGTTTAGGCTTAGGGGTTTAGGGGTCTTGGGTTTAGGGTTTAGGGTTTAGGGGTCTTGGGTTTAGGGGTTTAGGGTTTAGGGTAGGTCATGGTAACAGAACTGCTGATAGATTAATGCAGATGATGATCACGACCACGAGCGCGATAAGTATGTTTGTGGTTGTCTGGGCTCGATGAGTGTGATGCAGCTGAAGCTGATGGTGATGACGCAGAAGATGACGGCGACAGTGGCAATGATGGTGCCCATCAACACCGTCATCATTACCGTGATGGTGGTACGGGTCGCGGTAATGTTGCTGATGATGAGAAGCCTCACGGTAAGAGAGACTTTTTCGGACATGCTGTGATGTTCACAACTTCAATTATCCTGCGACCTCTCTTGGGCCTGAAGCAGGAAAGGGTGATGGGACTGGACTAGACAGGGCATCCCATCTGCCTTCATGCCAGCACTGCCGGATTCGCTTCGGGACAACCTTGCCCTCCATTTCAGCGCTTGAGAAGGACCTCATCGCGAAGTCTGAGCCCATGCAGAACTGAAGACGGATGCCACATCGGCAGGGGTGAAGCTTCAGCACAAAGCGCTTCGTGCTCTCAAACAAGCTTCCAAGTCAGGCAGACGGAAAATCAAGAAGCACTCTACGGTTGGCAACCTATAACCCTAAACCCTAAACCCTAAACCGTTATATCCTACAGCTCAGACAGATTGAGGCGACGTCTCACCGTGAAAATCTCCCCAGGACTCAGGCGGCTCGGAATCCGACTCCAACACTCCACGGTTGGCCCTCAGGAAGCTCCTCCTCACCTTCAAGAAGAAGAGGAACCTCCCTTGCTCATGGAAATCGAGCATGTCTTGGATGGTGTGACCGTAGCACTCAAAGCCGTATGCTGACATGAAGTTCACGAGCCGCGCAGCTGAGCCGAAGTGGCCAGATGGAGCCTAGGTTCTGCAGTAACCCCTTAATAATAAGGGTACCCTTTTTCCTACCATTTGGTTTTAAGAAGGAGACCCCAAACCAAAAAGGGCAAAAGGGTACTACTGGGGCACCTAGGAGCGAGCTCGTCCAAACTCTTCACGGCAAAGCCCTTCTTGGTACAGACGACGATTTCAGGGCCATTCTCTATTTGGAAGTGGCGCCGCCCATTTTGACGCTGAACTGCCTTCACTTCCAGAAAGTAGTCGACGTAGTCGCTTTCAATCTCCTGCCGAACCATCTGCCAGCGAGACTGGGCCATGGATACGATGGCATGGGCCAGACCGGTTGTCGTTGTCATTCGACAGGGCAAAATCTACGTAATGATGGGCCCCGGCACCTGTCTGCAATCCTTCACAGCGGCAGATGCGGACAAGGACTAATGCCAAATCCTGAAGCTCCTACATTCGGATTTTGATTTTGCTAGTCGGTGTGGGGGATTACATGATTACGCATCACATCGGAGAGTAGGGTAAGTTGAAAATGCACCCGAATCGGCATCACGTCCTGAGCAGATGCAGCCGGTGTATTGCCAATAGTCCAGCTACCTGAACACCTAGAACACTAGCCGTCAAAAGCCCCAACACCCCGAATCCCTAACAGCCGGAACCATGAAAGCCCTCTGCCCTAATGCTTCTAACTACTACCCTAGACCCTAGACCCTAAACCCTCAACCCTGAACCCCATCATCACAAGACAAGCTCGCAATAGGACGTCAGCGGTCTTGCTCCGAACAACTTCTCAGGGCTTCATTTTGTAAGGCGAGTTTAGGGTTTAGGGTTTCGAGTTTTCCAGGCAAGTTCCTGGCAACCTACACGGGTTCTCACACGGGTGTTGTGGGGAGTCACCTGGGTTCTCACAAGGAGTCCTGCAAGGGGGCCGTCCGACTCTAAACCCTAAACCCTAAACCCTAAACCAAAAACCCAGAACCCTAAACCCAAAACCCAAAACCGGGTCCTTGCAATGAGGATCCCACTTTTTTGAAGGTTTGGGGTCTCGGGCCTAGGATTGGCTTAGGATTTAGGGTACGCTTCCCTGCTGTCTCCGAAACCCAAGCTTCGGGTGGGTTTAGGGTTTAGGGTTTAGACTACAGGCACCGGTCGTCTCAGGCACAGCAGCATATGGGGGAAGTGGGAGCTCTGATGAGCTGTGTAGGGAAGAAATCAGCAACTCCAAAAAGTGAGTGGGCAATTTACAAAGATCCTTTAATGCAGGGGCCTTAATAATTGGAAGAGGGTTTTGGTGGCTCCTTATTATAATTATAGTATACTATACCACAAACCCTACTAGAATTAGCAAGGCCCCTATATTCTCTGACTTGAAGATTATGCCCGGACTAAAGGGTGCTGGAGTTCCTGGGTTGGCCAAAAGCCTGAGGTCCGGATAATTTGAACTTCTCTAAGGGTTTAGGGTTTAGGGGTTTAGGGTTTAGGGTGTCCTTTAAGGGGCGAGTCTAGGGGCCTTAATAGTTAGAACAGGGTTTGGGGGCCCCTTAAGCTATAAATGTAATAAGGAACCCCAAAATAGTACAGGTAATTATTACGGCCCCTACATTACTATAACTAAGGGCGACTGTAAGTTTAGGGTACGAGTCTCGTCAGGATGAATGCAGAAAAGGCGCGAGATCTCCTAAAGCATCAACGACTGCCTGGACGATTCCCAAGCCCACGTCCTGTCAGCGGGTCTCGATGCGTCATATACGTGGGTCTTACTAACTAGAATGGGGCTTTTCGGCTTCCTTTAAGTTAGGGTCTAGATTAGGGGGTTTAAGGGTTCTTTGAGGGCTCTACGACCCAGTTTTGGGTATCTGGTGGTTTAGGGTATAGAAGCCTTGACGAGTTGTCTACAGGGTTTGTGGGTAGATACTGCTGCATGATACCCTAAACCCTAAACCCTAATTACAGCTACAACAAGTGCGAGACCTCAAGGAAGAGTATGAATCGCTGTTCCGCCGCTTCTAATATTATGTTAATATGACAAGATGACAAGACCACCACGGAACCTCCTTTGCTGGACGAAACCGAAACCCTAAAGTCCCCAGAGAGCCCAATACCCACCCATTAACTTAATATTAATTAGGCAACAGGCCTTAAACTATAAGGGGCTGAAAATTCTTGTTTATGTTGTATTCCATAGTTAAGGGGTGTCGGGCTCTCTGGGTCTATCATCCGGAACAGACATGTTGGAGCCGGTCGAGCTGGAAGCGAGGGATGAGGACGAGGTCAGCAATAGGGGTTTTGGGCTTGGGGTGGCTTACCCCTACCCCTAAACCTCTACACCCTAAACCCCCGAACCCCTGAGCCCCTAAACTCCTAAACCCTAAACCTAGGCATTCAGGTTTAAATTTTGGAGGCTTAAGGGTTCCCACTCTACTATACAAGGTGGCCCCTAAACCCCTCCAGAACCCTTGAACCAAAAGAAACTCGTATTTAAAGGAAACTACAGGTGGGGAGTTTAGGGTATATAGGGCTTCTAGAAGGCTTCTAGAAGGTATATAGACCTTCTATAAGGCTCCTATAGCGGTAACTCACCCACCTGAAACTGTCCTAGACTTACTTGGTGTGTCGGGGGACTTAGTAAATAGCTATTTTGTAGAGTTATAAGTTTCATAACCCCAATTAGGATCCCTTTTGGGGTACTTATAAGTCTACTTATTACCCACTTACTAAGTCCCCCGACCCTCCAAGTATGACACGCGGCGGCCTTCGAGAGAAAGGGCAAGCTCATCTGCTCCGAAAGCTTCTTTGCAAGCTGCTGGCGGCTCTTCTCACTTCCTGTGTCAATGGTTTAGGGTTTAGGGTTTAGGGTTTAGGGTTTTTGGGGCAATGGAAATTTCAAGCTTTTGAGGGCTTTTTAAAGATTATATATACGGGACCCCACATCCTAGACCCTTTTTTGCATCTGGCCCTGTGCAAACCCCTATAGCCCTAAATGACCCCTAGACCCCTGAAGCCCCGAACCCCAAACCCCAAACCCCAAACCCTAAAACCGACAGCAAACCTCAACACCACGAGCCCCTCTAAAACCCTAAACCTTCAACCCTAAGCCCCCAAAGCCCCAACCCCTAAACCCCCCCCCTCCCCTTATAAAAAAAACTAAGCCCCTTTTACACAGGCTCGACTGGAGCTCAAAACTTCGACCCTAAGCCCCTTTCACGCAGGCTTGATTGGAGCTCAAACCCTGAACCCCTAGACCCTAAAAGCCCTAAGCCCCTCGACTCGAAACCATAAAACAAAAGCCTAAAAACCCACCCTTTTTGAAACCGGACTTGATGACTGCCAGCACCCTAGCCCCCAAACAAACCCTAAACCCCAAGCCCCAAAACCCTACAAACCCTACAAACCCTAAACCCTTTTTGCACAGGCTTGCATTAAACCCTTTACACAGGCTTGATTGGAGCTCGCCCGGCCAATGTCCCTAAACCCTGAAACCCGAAACCCCACAC